CCCCAAAACCCCAAAACCCCAAAACCCCTGGGGGTTAGAAAGTGGTGGAATAGTTATTTGAGGTTTATGGGGGTGGGTTTTAGCAGCAGGATGGGAGTAAGGATGGGTTTGGAGTTACTATATGTTACAAAGTAAGCATACTCTTTTCGTAGAGATTTGAGTCCTGCTAGTCCTTTCTCTATACAATCAAAAATCATTAGTACCTGGTTTAGAAACGGGAGCCTTTCATTTTCTCTCCGACTGGAATGCTGTAAACTCTATGAGGTTATTTAAATAGCCTAACCAATAGTAACTGGGTTTTCCAAGCTCCTTCTTCTAGGAATAGTTCCTTTTATTTTTTGGAAGGTCCTTAGCGATATGCTTGTTCCTCTTCAAATAAGCTGGGATATAAGGTTCAATTTTAAATTGTTTCGCGAAATTAGATATTTTCTTAACTGTAGCTTCAGAACAAAGTTAGCTTACTCTTCTTTTGTTGACCAAAGAAAATTTTATTTACATCTATGTCTAGAAATCATTGGGAGGCCTTACTATTTCTTAGCCTGCCTACTAATTGTAGCCTTATAGATCAGAATTGGTTGACTGTTAGTATTTTCCTGGTTAAAATTTGTTATTGAATCAACCACTTATGATTGACGTAATTAACCCAGAAGAGATCATATGCTGGTAATTCTTTCCATTCTTATAGCTCACCCGTCCACATTCCTGAGTTTGCACTCTTGCTGTTTTCATCAACCTGAAGCTATAACAAATATCAAAGCAAATCCTCATAATTCCACTAACTTCGCCCATGCCCTTCTTGTTCTACTTCTCTTTCTTCCTTCTGTAGGTCTAGATGTGATCATGCCAAAGCCTGCTTACATTCTAAACAAGGAGTCCTTGTTAAAGACATTGAGAACCTGGGCCTTGCGGTCTTGGGGTTTTATGTACAGAAAATTTGTGTTGGTCTATATAATGGGTTACAGTGAAAGCAATTGACTCAATATGATTAACTCAATTTCTAATAATATTATTCGATTGCATAAAAATTTGTCGTAAATATCAAGCTTCTGTAAAGACACAATGGATTTGAAAGAATCAATAAATGGTTAACAAATCCATAATATCTCTACAGAAAGATAAAGTAAGAGAACCCAAGTTATTTAATAATAAAATAAATTGCCTAGAAATTAGGTACATTTCTTGCTTTGCTTACAAAAATGCCACTAAAGAAACTCTTAGCCTAACAAGAACGAAATTTGGTTCTAACAAATTTACTCCATCGTTTGATAGCTGTCTACATTCCTTTCTGTAAACCAAAGTTTAATTTTCCATCAGCTTTGGTATTTTTAACCCAATATATCTCTGCAGGGGCTAAGCGCTGTTTCCAATTGCTTTACTACATCTTTGTAGTTACTAGAAACAAGAATGTTTTCATTGTCTCAATAATTAGTGTAGAGAGTTTTATGGTGTTTAATAATGGTAGAAACTCTTTTAGTAAAGCACCTGAGTTGAAATTATTCGTTAAAGAATTGGCTTTGAGGTCAGCTTGCCAAGTCTTTTTGGGAAGAGGGTGGGCATCTAGAGTGGCTGCTAGGATTTTTGGATAGAGAGGACGAGGGCATTTGAGGAGAGAGATATTTGTGAAAAATTCAAGAAAGCCAGTCATTCTGCCAAATAAAATCTCAAAAGAAGAATTACCTGATAACAATCATTGATTTATCTTCCAAATCTACAACTACATTAGACTAAAACTCCTGGTTCTCGATATCAACACTCACTCTTGCCTATATCTCTCAAACCTATCCAACTTAAACTACACAAGCTCTGTCTCATCCCTCCACTCTATACAAGCATCACTCCATTCTCCTCTCAACCCAAAAATCGGTCCCCCCTCAGTTCTTTAACCACTCTAAAAGCTCCCAGTCCCCTACATTTCCACTACAGAGGCAGACCACCTCCTAAAATGCTTACTCCTCGTGGCATGCCTACAATCTCAATTTTATAGAAACAAATAATTTAAAATAAGTTCCTTTCAGCCTGGCTTCAAAGGCCAGGGGTTTTGGGGTTTTGGGGTTTTGGGG